ACGAACACGACGATCACGACGACCACAATCACCACTTACATGATGATGTGATGGTGTGATGACGTGGTAACGTGGTGATGGCCTTAATGACGCAAATGATGTTGCTGACCATGACGTTGATCGCAGTGAAGTGATCACAGCTTCCGTCCAGACAGTGTAATGCACAGCTAATACGCAGAGTTTATCTATAGTCTACGTTCTACATGCGAACCTGTCGCGCATTCGCAGCCCTTTCGCCGGCCCGAACACCTCGCTACTTCTGCAGCGTCGGAGGAAGAGATGTGATGGATTCTGACTGACCCTGTGGGCGTCTACTGCTACCTGGGACTTCTTACGATACGATGGCGTTTCATTATTTATAAGGCTACTGGCTGGATCCATCTTCCAACACAACTCCACCCGGCTGCGCTCAAGTACAAACATGTGCACAGCCACACATCTGTCTCAGGCATCACTGGCCCAGTTGGCCTTCGAAGTCTTGCAGCTGCTTGAGGAAGCCCATGTTCGGACTAACCCGAGGCCTGCATGCCTTGAGCTCTGCCAGAACCTCCTCCGTGCTTTTGGGTGCACCCGCCCGCCTTGTCATGTGAAGCATGAAGGCTGCCATCACTGTGGCAGAGCGGCTTTGTCCATGCTTGCAATGTATGAGGATATGCCCAGACTCAGAATCCACTGCCTGCTGCAGGAACTGTACACTCTGCAGGAAATAGTCGCAAATTCGCTGGTCTGTGCCATCCTGCACTGGCACGCGGAGCCGTCCTTCAAGCAGCCCTACGAACTTGTACCGTAAGTGGACCCACAGCTAAAACACGCCTGAAACCTAAAATGCAGAGGCAAGAATACGCAAGGCAGTGTAGTAGGTCAAATCTGCGGGTCCCTGCTCGCCTGTGAGCTTCACGCGGAGCTCAGCGTGGATGGGTTGCTGCATCAGAGGACCTTCCAGATCTGGGTCCAGTGGTCTGCTTGGGCTGGCACACTGCGTCTCCACAATCTCATCAACAAAGGGAAGCTCCATCGAGCAGTTGACAACGTACTTTATGCCCAGCGCGTTGTACGTATGTGGATCGCTGGCCACGCCCCAGTTACCTCAGACTTGCTTTGCCAACGATATTCAGAAACACGTGTAGGTAGAAATGCGAACTGCTGGCCTCTATCATTCCATGACCCTATGCGGACATCTCACGTCTGGGTCATTACCCGAATGGGCGAATTGCTTTCGTGCTACAAGCATCTCAGAAGAGGTATAGATGTTGCCTGAAAGAATACCCATGCTCTTGGCACATACAGCATGCACGGACTTCACGGATTCTACGTTGAGCACTCTTGCCACTGCAGGCTTCAGCCCGCTTAATGGTACCACAAGTCGCCTCAGCCAATACAAGTGCCCCATTACCCCGCACTTGATGAGATGCATGCCCTGTGCACTATGCTCACATAGTGCAGCCCGCTAGATGCAGCTAGTCCCTTTGCAGTGGCCCTGTCATGGAAGCTCAGATTAGAACCACTTGTCATGTCTCCAGCAATTCACAGCCACAGGAAAGCCATGCTTTTGCCAAAGTGCTCAGAAAAAGCTTTGTCCCAGCACCGACCACCGCCATCAATGATGGGTACAGGCGCCCCAGCTCGTAGTCCGGATGGCCAGGTTCCAGAAATGGGAACTGGCAGTAGATTTCCTGCCCAAGCTCAGGAATCACCCAGCAGGGCTTCGTGAGGCCTTTGTGTTTTCCAGGCGGACCCATAAGGTTCTTCCGGCTACAAGGCTCATGATGGCCTCTTGTTTCAGGGGTTCAACTGCTGAGAACATCAGAGCGCCGATTCTTTGATTCCATCATTGTTTTGTTGGAGGACCAGCGTGGATATGCACGCAACTTATGCACAGATGCTCTAAGTCTGCTGGAAGGAGAGCCTTATGCATCGGGAGCGTGGGCCAATGCAGGGACCCATGTGCAAAATCTGCCAGTCGTCCCATAAATCCCTTCCTGCATCCCTTCCGCATGTCTCAACCAGCCAGGTTCCTCCAAAGCTGCTTGCAAAACAACCAAGCCAACAATGGTCCAAAAGACTGAACACGGATTGACCTTGCTACCAGGCTCTATATTCCCCCGAAAAACGATCTGTACCTTCCCTGAGTTTCAAGCCGCCTGAAGATAGCCGACGCACAAGTGTGGGACAATGCCGGTACATCATACAGGAAGCCCGTCTATCCGGGTTGCTGACCTACTTCTTCAATCTCTTCCTTCTCCCAAAAGAATCAACCAGACGGTGGGGCGTTATAAGAATCACATAAGTGTGTATGTATATATATACACATAGATACCGATATATATATATATGTATATAGAGAGATATAGCTATAGATATGTGATACTCACCATGTGTCATGATCGATGCTATCATTGAGGTGACCACAACTTGAAGGGTGCCGCGGCCTGCACTGGACAAGGTAGCCACACCACTTCCGCCACCAGGGCCCGGGGAACACCGCAAAAGCCGTGGCGGCCTGTGTAGGCGAGAAAGCGAGGTTGGCAACCCCAAGCTCTAGAATAATGACACTAGGACTATCCGATCACAAGAATGGAACCCTAATTTTCGAGGTTTGGGCCCAGACCGTATTCTAGCATCCCAAGTAGCACAGTACATTCCAGCCTCTTTTCCATTCCCACATTCTCTTCTAAGAAATCAACAGCTTTAAGATATACCTCGAGACTCGGGTGGCATCTCCAGAGTTGGGATGTGGCGTCCTCTTCATTTCAGGATTTAGGGTTTAGGGACAGAATCCCCAAAAATCAAGAACACCTCACGTTTGGGTTGCAAGACCCTCTTGTTGAGTAACTCAGCCCTAGTGGCAAAGCCAGCGTCTCATCTCTCGCGCCGTAGCCTCGCCTCAGCTTCATGGCGCCGTTTAGGGTTCAGGGTTTAGGCAGTTGGCTTCTGGATTTAGGGTTTAGGGTCCAGGGTTTGGGATGCAGAGTTGACTGTTTAGGAGTTTAAGGTTCTGGGTTTGGGGTGTAAAATTTAGGATTTAGGGTTCCGTTGGCATTGGGGGTTTGAAGGTTAAGGTGTGGAACATTGGGTCGGCAAGACCTCATCTGATTCAGTACAGAAAGATGGGCTCTGCAGCCTAATTCTTTTCTTACCTCATGTTATTTGCTGGGTGGCTTCCAGAATTCGGGTTCATGAAGGCTTTTAACACGCCCTAGCAGTCCTTTCTGTGTTGGTTTAGAGTTTAGGGTTTAGGGATGACGCTGTGGGAGTTCAACCCCTCCCTGACTGGTACCTCTTTATCGTCAAGAGATTATGCAAACAGATCTTAGTTGCATGCGACTTTGTTGCTGGTCCAACCCCGTGAAGTGTGACATCAGCCTCACCCCGAGGACCAAAAGTTTCTCAACGATCGCTAACCTCCTCTAGTGGCCCAGGCTTACTTTGATGCAACTCTTCCGGAGTCCCGCTTGAAGGTTACGGTTTTTGACGACAATATCGCATGAGCCATGGTCTAAACTCCTAGTATCCTCCTTTATACCCCCTATAGACCTCCCCTATATAATCCCCTCTATAACCCCCTTTAAGGAATTTAGACTATGGTACATATGAAAGAGAGAGGCCTTCGACCCCCTCGCCGAGGATGACGACCGACCAGCCCCGAGCTGGCCTCTTGGCAAGGACCTTAGATGATCTTAGATGGAATTTAGAAAGTGAAAATATGTGTGTATATATATATGTATATCACAAATATGGGGATTGTATAGGGATCGGATAATGGAAAAGGAAAATGGAAACTACTATTTAGGGTTTGGGATCATCAACACAAGCTACCTATGGTTCCTTACTTCTGTAGGTCATAATCAATGTAGATCTCGTGTGTCTGGATGTCACTATCAATGGGGGTTTGGGGATTCGTGCTTAGGGTGCATGAGAGTTAAAGCCTTGGAGAGCCTTCGGGGTTCCGAGATGTAGACATCCGAACCATGGTCGTAGCAGATTTTGTCTGCCCTAACAGAGCTTGATGATTTGTTGTTGGCCTTGCTCACTTCCTCGTCTGAACAGCTTTTGCCGGGCTAGGGAGCAATTGCTGGTATTATGCGGTAGTATTTAACCGTGTGACGGATTAATACAACATTCCTTCATGGACTTGATAAAGGGGCTGGCGGCCTATGTAATTACCAATACCATTTTGGCGTCTGCTTGAGGTCCCCCATACCAGAATTCTAGAGCTCCCCCACCCACAATAATGAACATCCCTAACATACTGTTCGACATAAGGGGGAGTTGTTCTTGTTAGCGGGTGAGGCGGGGCTTGTTAGGAGGAGGGCTTTCTGTTGCAGGCAATGATACTTCCGTGGGTTGCTGGGAGTGGCGGAGTGAAAGGCCTTTGGCCGCGAGAGGACACCTATAGGGATCATATGGGTTATATTGGGGTTATATAGGGATAATGGAAAAGCAAATGGAAACTACTATTTAGGGTTTAGGGTTTAGGGTTTAGCGGCTTAGGTCGCGTAGCTTCTGGGTCTAAGTATGGGGGTTTCCTAAAATTGGGGGTACCATTTTAGGGGTCCCCATAATAAGGACTATAGTATATTGGGGTCTAAATTGGGGTCCCCTTATTTTGGGAAACTACCGTATACCTTATGCAACAAATGGCATCCTTCGTGGCGAAATAAGAGACAATGTCGCTTGGAGTCCTGGTTCTCAAACCAAGGATATGTTCTATTTAAAGCCCTCACCCCTAAAACCTACCCTAAACCCTTAACTCCAAACCCCTGACCCTAAGTCATTTACTGCCCCTAAACCCTAGAACCCGTTGCCCTTGCCCCTAAACCTTTAACCCGAAACCTTTAACCCCAAGCCCTTAACCCTAAGCCCTAAACGCTTTGCCCTGAACCCTGAACCATGAAACCAAACTCTAAATCCTCAACCCTAAACCTGTAAACCTAAACCCTTAACCACCTAAACCCTTGACCCTCAATCCTAAACCCTAAACCCTAAACCCCTGAACCCCTGCTCATTCTCCAACCAGTCCTGGCCTCCTCCACGCCCCGTCGAAAGAGCGCTGGGGACATGAAGCGTAGCTCGGTGTTGTCGTCCCAGCCCTCCTCTTCTACTGGCTTGCCATTAACAGGATAATTCAGAATAACTTCAATTCCCACTTTCAGGCCGTTTTGGTACTATTCCCTATATAAACCACCATTTAGGGTGAGGTCGGGTGAGGTCGCTGTAAGTTGCCCTGCGAAGGAATGTAATACTCGGGATGTTTGATCCTATTTTGGGGTTAACATGCGTATATAGTAGTGGAGGGACGACTGGAAAATCAAATGGAAAATGACCTGGAAACTGGGGCTATGTAGGGTGTTCAGGATCTTGATTCAAGTTACCATTATGAGGAAACCGTATGATTTCATGATATTTCATGCGCATGTGTGAATGTATAAAATATATAGATATATAATATACAGAGATCATGTTAGGTTCCTTCAAGGACAGCGTGATCTTTCGAGGTTTGAGAGCTTGGGGTTATTTCGGGCGCGGGCAGCAAGCGGAGGACAGGGCGTCACACCAGGAATCTCCCCACTTCAACTTTAGCTCCGGTTCGCCTGGCTCGTCAGGGACCGACCCATCAACTCCAGTAACACTTCTCAGTGTCAGGGCGACCTGCCCATCCAAAGCCCAGACAATACTGCAGCACTCAACAGAAGCGAGTCCGAGTTGGCTGGGCGAAGTGCAAGTTGATGACAAGTCTTGCCCTCTCCATCATGACTTAAATCCAAAGGTCTTGGCTCTGGGCATCAACTGACTGATTAAATATTCCGAATAGCTTATTGAGTTAAGCACGTAGGTTGAAGTCTGGCCATCACGCTCATTTGGCACAATGGCGAATCGACATGGAGCACGTATATGTTGTGAAACCATGGCTGCTTACCCAAAACTGCTAGGGGCCATCTGACGAATGGAAATCTTAAGCGGCTCCCGCTGCAATGACTTCTGGCACCATAGCAGGCATAAACCGGATTGCTGGGTTTAGGGTCTAGGGTTTAGGGGTTTACGGTTTAGGGGTTCAGGGGTAAGGGTTTAGGGGTTTGGGGTGTTTGGGTTTTGGGACGATCCATCCTCCACATCGCGCAGCTTGGCATCAGCCAGGACAGTTATCGTCAAGGCGCGTGTGTCTTGCCTGAGTATTCAAGGCAAACAAGTTTGGAGTTAAGCCATGATTAAAATGGAAAAGAAACCGGAAGCTACGACATCTTAATAGTCTATATATAAGGATATAAAGACATATTACCCCAATAATGGAGAAGCGATTTCTCATAAGTCTTGCTGTTGATGGCCTGCAGGGGACCTGGTTCGGCAGACAGGCTGCACATGCAAACTGAAGCTATCAGGTATCTTGCAAGCGTATGTAGGGATTATAGACATTGCATCCCCAATACCAGAGAATTAAACGGAGCAAAGGATGAAAAATGAAATGGAAACTGGGTTGCCAAGAAAAAAGCCCCAGTCCAAAGACCCACCCACAAGCAAACACACCTCCACGGAGCCCCCATATCGGTGGTTGTCAAGATTATGATCCCTTTTTGAATCCCTACTATAATAGGGCTCCTAATATTGAGGGTACCCAAAAAAGGGACCATAATTTGGACAA